TCTGTACTATGAGAAGTCAACAGATAGAGCAGCATAGCTGACCAATAAACAAAAAGTTAATATAACCTTTTGACAGTTAAAAATGAGTCTTTTGCTATGTATAAAATTTGACATCCAATGAAACAATACTGAATCATTTGAATCCATTATGTTCAGCAGTGGATTTACACTGGGATGCTGACAGCACTCTGCAGCATTTTTTTTTTTTAAGTGTTGGTAGCAGCTCAAATCTTATTAGCTTCTGAGATTTCATTTGTTTCTTCAGGAAAGTGGGATAAATGTCTTTGGACATGATGCCGAGCTTGAACCATTATGAAAGCTTGGATGAAAATTTCTTCCTTTCTGTGACCCTATGTCTTCTCACCCTTTGTGATATTTTACAAATTGAATTTCAGGGCTCAAGAGGTAAAGTTTCTGCTGTGGTTGGCAAAAGTGTTGTTTTTCCATCTGATTACCCTTGAGGTCAGAAGCACGTAATATATTCAGGGTGTTTCTAATCGAACGAAGCTCAGAATATGTGAGGGTTGTAGACAGCAGCTGGCCCCAGCAGAGACTAGCAGATTTGCTGAGAACCTGTAAAGATCTTGGCAGGATATCAACAAAGATACTGCAGGGCTGCTAGATGCCAGGAAAATGAGATCTTTGGTTTGCAGCAAGGAAATGGTATTTAGGGAGGATAGGATGTAATAAATTACAGTAATAGCACTGAGAATATTTTTCATCCAGGACTATTAGAGACTGTCATGATGGTGGGCAACTTGTGTACTTGGTTTTGCATATGGGGAAACTTAAGTACAAGCAAGTGAAAGAAAGATGCCTTCCTACAGCAGCAGAGTGTTTTCCGAGTGGGGAAAAGAAGTCACAGGTTCCTGCACAGGAATCATTTTTGAGAGAAGTGAAGGATGAAGGGAAACAAATGATGCAGAAAGGGTTTTAGCTGACTTAAGAAGAGAGGAAAGAAAAGAATGGAGGCTGGGTGGGTGAAAGAGAGGTGCTTTGTGGAGAACGAGAGGTACTTGTGGAGAACAAGATTCCAGAAGATGCAGTGGTGTGTGGCCCATCGTGCCTGACCCTTAGATGTGGCTGGAAGATTTCATTCAGGTCAGTCTACAGGAAACTCTGTTTGATCGATTAGTCTGGTGTGTCCTCTTTGCGCTCACCAGACCTTTAGTGAAAACGAGTCTCTCCAGAGAACTCGGGCAAAATCCTGATGTTACTGAAACAGAATTGTGGCATAAAGAGCCAGCTTCATAAGGAGAGAAAAGAAAGCAGATTCTCATCTAATTTACACATGGAGCACGACACAGAGATTAGCAACTATAATGGGCAATGCCTTCCTGAAAAACTTAGCCTTAGTTTTACTCACAGCTCTGTGATTTTGATGTAAATCATTCCTGAGGTATTTCCTCTGCACTTACCTGATTAGCAATGCCAATTATTTATCACTGTTCTTAGGACCTGATTGTGTGATATCCTCCCTGATTACTTTATCAGGTTAAAGTCTATGGATTATTGACAGTTCTGTGTTAACTAGGTGGCTTGGCTTTTGGGCAGAATGCCAGCGGCGGGGAAGCAGCTGTTTGAGATGGGAATATCAGAAAATGCCAACTGACAAAATGTTTCTGACTTCTGCAGGACTGCAAGAGGCCATTAGCAGCTCTTGGAATTCCTCTCTCTCTCTCTCTCTCTCTTTTTTTTTTTTTTTTTTTTTTTTTTTTTTTGTGTCCCCAAAAAGAACTAACGTGGGAAGCAGGATACCATTGAAAATGTAATGCAGTGGGTACTGGTGGAAATGCCAGACAGGGACAAAGTCTGAAATGCAGATCAGCAGGAAAAGACACGGATGGATGGCAGGTGGTCTCTTTCTCATATATGAGTCTATTCCCACTGGGAGACAGTCAGGGTTCATTTAAGATCTCGTGTGGGCCAGTGTCCTTCTATGCGATCAACCTCAGAAAGCATTCACTTAGAACTGCCGTTTAAACTTTGCTGGTTTTGTGATAGTTTTGAAAGCTGACACAGAAGTTTTCTACTATCCATTTATTCTCCATTTCTCCCTGAACAGTCTTCCTCCAAATGACACTTACGTGTGAAACGGCACTTCTAGCAGAGGTGTTAAACCTCCTGGAAGGGAGGACTGGACTTGTGAGGGCTTTGAAGTGCATGAGCCACGCAAATGCACAAAGGTTCTTCTGCAGACGGTCTCTGTGCTGGAAATATGTTTGAGAAAAGAGAAGATTCTGGAAGTCTCTGAACATTTGGGCGTAAACTTCTGTCTTTTTTTGAGATCTCATTAAACAGGGAGCAAGTGGAAGCAGAATGGACTGGGTGCCTTCCAGCGCCACAGGGAGTTTTCTGCAGCAGCTGCTGTGTCACAAGACCATAAATTGACTTCCTGCCATGGGAGGCCTCCAGCTGGTTCCTCTGGAGCCTTACCGGGGGAAATCCTTGCCCTTTATCTTACCAGCAGCAGGCGATGCCCGGGGCTGGGGAGGAGTTGGAGCTGGCAGATTTCTCTTGTCAGCCAACAAGATTTTGATTAATAAAAACTAATGGATGGGTGGAGACCTCAGTGTTTTGCTGGGGAAGAGATGGTTCTCTCCTTTGAGCGCTATGTGCAGATGTTCAAGTTCTTTGTTTTCAAAAACTCCCAATATGAGCACATGTCTTTCATCGTATTTTAGGTAACATCAAAGTCCTTCTTTTTTAATTTTTTTTTTTTAATTAATTAATTTATTTATTTTTTTTATCTTCCAAGGCGATGCCTTATGCTTATCCCCTCCACTCAGGGTAGATACATGTTCTCCTTTCGGTCATTCAGTTCCCCTCACAATATCCCTTATCTTCTGGTCTTGGAACTGGCCTTTTCTGAGGGATTTCATACCATTAATAACTGCACTCTCACTGAATCAATAACCAAGCAGGAATCTTTGGCAAGGGAAGCAGTTTTGGTGCAGGAGGTGTCTCTGGATTTAGTGGCCTTTATCATTGTCTTTGCTGGAATTTTCTCTTTCTTTAGAAGTTAACTCCTCAGCTGCTGCATCCAAGCCTGTTGCATTTCCCTTCTTTCCCCACAGGAGTTGCTGTATTCTGTATTCTCCCAAGAGAGGTATATAGGAGACTCAGTAATATGTAAGATTTCTTTTTTTTTTTTTTTTTTTTACCTGTCTTTTGTATTACTGAAATTCTTTACTCATTCAGAATATTAGATATCACTGCCCTTCATGCCAAACTTAGGAGCAGATTTGAACTTCTGTAGGTTAAAAACTGAACCTGGATATGCTGTTTCATACCGAGAGTCATTCTCTTGCATATCTGTGGTTTTCAAATGCAGTCATGAATTCTGAAATGAGGAGGAAAAACCCACAATGAGATATTTTGAAAGTTTAGCCTGGCATGTATCCATCCTTGATTGCTTTGCTGTGCAGGATAGGATGTATTTGTTGTGAAATGGGAAATCCAAAAGAAAGCCGAGTGAGCCTTATGGAAGTTAGTGAAGCAGGGGAAACTTGATTTAGAAAAACAAAGTGACTGACTGTATTTTACATTTGGATTGTTTAAGCATCACACCTCTGGAAATTGCATTTAGAGGCAGTTTAGATACCTATTCAATAAAACTTTTAAGACTTTGTGATGTTGGTGACTTTTGGGGTCAAGAGGGTAAGGCATAAGTAGTGTGGGATGCATGGGGAAAGCTAAGCAAACCTTGTGGAATTTTAAAGCCTGCTTGTTGGAGCTTCGAGAGCCTCCAGCTCCAGCAGCTGCCTTGTGGAACCTTTTCCAGAGTGATGACAACAGTTTTCCTGCTGTTTGAGTCACAGTTTCAAATAACCCCAGCCATTGCCTCTACATATGAATCTTACGGCTTTTTGTCATATCTATGTCATAATCTTTAAGCGATTGTGGCTCTGTGGACAGTGAGTTCTGTGGCAGAGATAGCAGGGTCCACCCTGCAAAGGCAATTCTATTAGTTACATACTGGGCATATTCTTCTGCCTTTTTTTTTTTCCTGCTTAAGAAAGGGGGTTCAAACACAGTCTGCACTGCTTGTTAGCACATCAGTTTGATCAATGCTGTTGCTAAAGTAATGCTATTGCAGAAAAGAACACATATATCCAACCCATTTTCAATTGGTTTCATATCAAGGAAGGGCAGAAGATGGGAAGAGCTTAACTGTAAGACTCCTTTGTGGCATTTAGTCTATGAGGAGTCTGTGCTGTCTATCTGTGTGTGTGGTTTGGAGAGACGATCTCGCAGAAGGGGTCTGAACCTCTCTTCGCAGACACGTTCAAGTTCACAGAAACACTTATGAGTCCCCTCTGCCTTTCTCCCATCCAGTTACCTGATATGCACATTTGAATGGTTTGCACATATGTAAATGCACAGCTCTCATACAAAGTGTATGGATATAATTTAGAAAGCTCTGTTGAATTTTTGGCTTATATAGACACATTCTGTGGCCTGACAGGATTACTCCTGTTGGAGTAATAACTAGAAGTTTTGCTTATTTAGGGCTTGTTCCTACTCCCTTTGAAGCCAATGGCGTAATTCCCAGCAATGTTTAGTGCTGCAAGGTCAAGCCTTTAAGGATGATAGAATTTGATGTTGGAGGCCTCAGTCAGTGCTTGCTGAAGTACATGGGGTTTCCCCAGTTATTCCAATGTGCAAATTGCCGTTATTTTGTAAAGATAGTTATTTTAAAAACTGCCTCCATAGAGATGGTATTAGAGCTGAACAGGAAAAAAGAAGGAAGTAAATCATGAAACTTCTGTTTATAGTGGCTGACATATAGCTCATAGCAGCTACTTTTATTACATTAAGACAGGTCAACTGAGTTCCCAGAACTTTGGACAGCTACATCCAAAAGCAATGGATTTGCTAAGCAAAAAAGGATGCTTTGTGTTGCTGCAACATCTCATGTGAAATTTGAATACGTTTTGCTTCTACTTGTAGGAACAGCTATTCATGTAGAATTGTAACCTTTATGCTTCTGGTCCCAGCTGGTGTGACCCTAAGCCATCCTCGGGGGAAAGGAGATGACGAAGAGAGAAGTTGCTCTCGCTGATCTCAAAGGCCAGTACGACTTAGAACCATTGCAGGTAAGAAAAACATCTGTGGTTCTTTCAGTGGGCTTCCTGACATCCAGAGTTCTGAAATAGCCTTAACCTGCCTTGCTCATAGGCTACTGGGGCTTCAGCAAAGCTTGTTTATTTTTATACTTACAGTTCAAGCTACTTCAAGCTTGCTAAGATAGATCTTGAAAGGGATGAAGCAAAAATACTAAGTGAGGAGAAGCACAGAAAGCTACTAGAGGGCCATTTCCCCTTGGAATTTTCTCTTCGTTTGTTTCAACAAATCTCTTAATCTAAAGGGCATGCAGGAGAGCCCATCTGTTTTCTCAGAGTTTTAAAAGGAAAGTGAAGAGGACATAACATTTATTCAGACTGCATTAGTATTTAATATGGATACTGCTGATCTACTGGGTTGAAGGACAGAGTATAATTTTCCCACCTTGTTTTCTTCTGTTTCCATCAGCACTTACATGCAATTATGTATTATATGCAATTACAGTTTAGCTAACTCCAATGCAAGAGCAACTAAATAATGTTACCAGTCAAACTGTTTGTATGGCCACTATGGGGACTTGGTAGTTTGTGAGTCATTTTGCCTCTGTGATTTAAGCTTCTTTAGCCTGTATGGATGCAGCATCTTTTATGCCCCTTGCATATTTGCTGGTCCTTCCACAGGAGTAGGGCCCAATGACCCAAACATCCCATCATCTTTCAGAGACAGCAGTAATCCTTCAGACCCTCCTTTACCTTGAGCACTGTCTTTGGGTGTATGGCTAGCTGACGGAGGGTGGCATCACATTCCCCACTAGATGATAATACGAAAAATACTGAGTTCTGGGCAAGCTAATAATTCTTCCACCCCCTCCTCCCTTACCCACTGAACCAGGCAAATAAGCAAAGGCACTTGAACTCTACATCAGCACAGCTTAACCGCTCTAGTTGAATTATATATAAATGAGCTATCACAGAAGTCTCTGGGGAGCTTCTGCTTGAACACTTCAATGTGACAGAGTACGCTGCTTTTCTTAGTGTTGTTTTGAAAATGATTTTCACATTTGCACGAAAGGAGAGAGGACATGAAAGAATCTAAAGTCACAAATTAGTCACAGAAAACTGCCCTCGTAACATAGGAATATCTTTACCTGCACCAGTGATGAATGTGCAATTGTGGAATAATACCAAGGAGTTCTAAGTGCCCATAGAAGCTGATGGGTCTGATCTTCTTTTTAGTTGTCTCATTATATCTGAGAAATGTGCATTAAGAACGTGAAAAGAATGTGTATAAAGCATTGCTAAATGCTTTATAATCTCATTTTGCAGAGGAATAAATAGCTAAATAAGGCAAAGAAATAGGAAATTAAGTATAACTAGAGACGTAATGTGTTGCCCAATTTTAAAGTGAGGAGGTCAGTGTCACAAAAGCAGACTAAGAGACAAATATTTTCAGTAAAGGTTGTAATGAAGGATGTCTGCTGCTTGTCAGAAATGTGTGCAGAAATGACTCAGAGGAACATTTTACCTTGCTGTGACCTAGAACTGACTGAGGATGTTGCGTGCAGAGGCTGACCTTAAGTTGATAATGCAAGGTTGCTTGCAGAAAACATTTCTTGATCTCAAATAAGAGTAAATAGGTCTTTCATAACTTCGTAAAATTTTCAAGTTTTTTCTTTTTGGAACCATTTAAAAATACTGTACCAATCATGCAACAAAATAGGTGTTATCAATGGTCACTTGTAAAATAGTTTCTTGTAGAACTTCATTAGATCATTTCACATACAGGTTCACTCTTTGTGTAAATGTAAAATAAGGAATAGTTATCAAAGCATACAGATCACAGGCAGCACCAAAAAAAAGGTTTTGATTTGACTTGAACTTCATGATCTTGCTATATGTAGTCTGCATGGCAGTGTCTGGTGTATAAATCATTGGGACAAGTAGAGCTTGAGGCTTTGGACAGACTGGGAAATGGCTTTTTCTTGTCGGGTTGGGGATGGGAGGCTTTGTGGTATAAACCTTTTCATGAAATAGAAGTGGGGAGAAAAAAAAATTAGAAACCTATTTAGATTATGTGCATTAATTGCATTTTCATTAATTTTTCAATGGATTAAATTGGATAAAAGGTCCTTGTAGTGGGATCACAATCTTACTCCTGTGATCGTCTCTAGCCTAATGAACGATGACTCCTCTTTTGCAAACTGCTGCTTCTGAAGTATGTACACAACCACATGGTGCGTTCATAGTGTGTGGGTATGGAACCCCCGGGAGGGGATAGATTCATACCTGACCCGCTCTTCTCTAACTAAACTGTATATGAAACCTCTCCTGGATGTGTCCAGGACACTTCCTATATGAGGTGTGTTTGGATAAGAGCTGTAATCTCCATCTTTTCAAACCAGTCCGCATAAGTGCATCCCAGTTTGGGAGACAAGCGAGGTTGCTGCACGCAGCTTCTCGGGAGGTAGGAGGGAGCTCCTGGTGGGAGCAGGAGCAGGGCTGATCAAAAGGCATCTCTGTGCTAGGCCAGGCTCTGGTGCTGTCTGGTGCTAGCCTTCTACAAAAGACAACAGCCTGTTTTTCAAGGAAAGATGATTCTTTTGCTCAAATAATCTTATTAAAAAGGGAGAGTGAGAAAGTTTCTTAATTCTTCTTGACACTTTTTGATTTCCTCAGATACTGCCTGCCTTCCCTATAGTACAAATCAATAATTTGATTTTGATTAAACTCTTCAGGCTGATTCTGACAATCTTACGTGATGTGTCAGGCTTTCTTACAATTCAATAGGAGCCCTTAGAGCACAGCATTATTAACACATGTAGTAAAACAAATAATTCAAAGCTGGCTTTGTTATAGAAGGGAGTGGGGAGAGGAGGGAATTTTTTCTTGCCAAACTGAAGTTTTGTTGAAAGATATTTGTCCTCTGGGATATTTCGTTGGTGAAAAAAAAATAGGGATATACTGCATAAAGCGTTTGTAAGACAAACTTTCCTCTGTTGTTTTTATTTTGTTTTGGGAGAGAAAAAAAAAAAAAAAGGCAAACAAACCATGTTGCCTCATTTGATCTTTGGCAAACTTAAAGTTTTATGTTTTTCATTTTTATTTCAGGGATGTTAAGATTTCTACCTGTCTCCCTGATTTTAATTAAAAACATAGTTTCTCTCTGTTTCTAATAGACAGAGAACGGAAAGAAAAAGAAAAAAAAACAGATTTTGTATCACAGAAATGTAACTATAGTCATGCTTCAGTCTGAGAGCCTTACGGGGTGTGTCAGCGTTTCCAGATTTTCCGTGATGTAGCATTATGGACTTCGCAGTTTTCCTTATTCTGAAAATAAAAGCTAACTCTACTGTCTTGAATGTAGTGCTTCAGGAAATTAAGGATAAAGGCCAATTTCTTAGTATAGTCCACTCTAAAATTTTATAGACCAAAAATTGAACAATACTAAGAAGTGCATAGGTAGCTCATCCAATCTGAGGAAAATTGTATAAATCATCTTCAAAAACCCACCACATTTGTAGGGGATTAATGTAGTACCTCGCTTCTGAATGCAGCCCAGGAAATACCGCAGAAATTTACATGAGACAAATGCTACATCTAAGAGGAACGATCATAAACATTTAGTTGGTACAGACAGTGAAATCTCCACTATTTCTCCCTAGTGTTGCTATTACCTGGAAATCCAAGATTAAGTAAGAATTCAGAAAGGACCAAAGACTGTGAAGCTTCATATATTAACTTATATATATATATAAGTAAAATGTGAGTGTGTGAAGCTTCATATATTAACTTATATATATATAAGTAAAATGTGAGTGTGTATATTTATATATATATTAAATATATATATATATATGTATGCACACAGGTATAAATTTATTTTTTATCTTAACCTTCCTTGGTAAACTTTGAGTAGGTAAGCAATAAGAAAAATAATATGTAGATACTTTCACTTAACAAGCAATTGTAACTATTGGACTTTTTGACTTTTCAAAGATACTGTATTTTTGTGTGCATCTTTTAAACACATCAATACAATATTTATAACATTTCTGAATGATGCAGGTGTAACTTAAAATTCAAAGGACTATCCCCTGCTAATGCAAGCACTGCCAGCCATTAACCAACATTTCCATTTGTTAGTCAAGTCCTTGAAAATCCCCCCCATTTTTTTTTCCTCCTTTAGCAGGAGGAACTACAAGGATCCCCAAGTGCTGGGGATATGTCAGGAAAATAAATAAATCTTAAGTCATCCAAATCTCTTGTCTAGTGCAAATCAATATCTAGTTGCATTCATGATACCATGATTTTTACTATATTTCCCTTTTCACGTGGTGTTTATTGTCACACAAAAATATGTGGCTGGAAACTGAAAAAATGTTACGTTATGCAAGAAAGCATGCTATTTAGTGTCGCATGCATGAAAGTAGCCTGTTGCAGTGGTTCTACAAATCTATCTATACACAGTAAAAGTCAAAGAGAATGAAGTGAATAAGCACCAGAATGCTTAGTCATTCCTCATTTGGATACAATTTATATTCATAAACAATAACTTGATTTTCAGCGTCTGCTGGAAAAAATGATTTACTCTTTCCTGCCTGATTTCTGTGTCAGAGGCTGGAGAACACCCTTAGAGAGTGTAAATTTAGTCATCTAACACAGTGGATTTTTGCCAAGCATTTTTGTTTTCTTAATAACAAACTTCAGTCTTAATAACCGCACGAGTTCACAGGACCAAAGCAGTATGTGTTCCTTCCTCCTTGCTATTTGAAATAGTCGACAAACAGGCGGGCCTCAGGCTTTGGCTCCTTTTCATACATCCTTGGTGCAAATCAGTTGCAGACAGGATTGAGAAACCTCTCTGGTGACATTGTTTCAGAGACTCCTTATGTGAGCAAAATTCAGAAATTTAATTGCTTATGCAACCTCTTATTGCAGCACTTTTACATTGAGTGGCACTAAGTAATTACACTGTAACTGCTGCACGACTGTTATAATTTTTCATGCAGCTATGTTACATGATAACACGATAA